CTCAACTCTGTCCTTCCTCCCTCCCCAGGGCTGCGGGCGGCCGTGCAGCTGGTTGAGTCCGGAGGGGGTCTCCAGCCCCCCGGGGGGTCCGTGCCCCTCGTCTGCACGGCCTCCGGCTTCTCCCTCAGCAGCTACGCCATGGAGTGGGTCCGACAGGCACCTGGGAAGGGGCTCGAGTACGTTGCGGGTATTAACAGCGGTGGTAGTGGCACATGGTACGCGCCGTCGGTTGAGGGCCGCTTCACCATCTCCCGAGACGACTCCCAGAGCACGGTCACGCTGCAGATGAACAGCCTCAGGGCCGACGACACGGCCACCTACTACTGCGCGAGAGATGGTACTGGTGCTGGTTCTGGTGGTGGTGCTGCTTATGGTGTCTCTGACTACGTCCCCATGTCCCCAACATATCTGCATTGGGTCCCTAAATCTTCCCCAACAATGCCCCCAGCCCAGACCCCTGCCCCAAACCTCAACCTCTTGCATCAAACCTTGACAATTTCCCCTAAATCTCGACAATTTGGCTCAATTTTTGACCATTGATTTTTGCCCCGGTCTCAACAGTTTACCCCACACCTCGTCCAGGATTTGCCCCAATCCCGACCATTTGCCCCACACCTCAGTGTTTTTCCCCCACACGTTGGCCATTTGTCCCAAACTAGAACCTCTTGCATCAAGCCTTGACCATTTGCCCCAAATCTCAACTGTTTGCCCCAATCCTCGAATAGTCAAGGTTTGAAGTCAATGGTAGAAATTTTGGGAAAAAAGTCAGGAATTGGGGCCAACGGTTGAGATTTGGGGCAAATAGTCAAGGCCTGATGTAAGTGGCCATGGTTTGGGTCAAAAGAATGAGGTTTTGGTGCAAACTGTGGAGGTTTGGGTCCAAAATGCCAAGAATTGGGTCAAAGTGTTGAGTTTTCGGGCAACAGGTCAACCACGGATTCCTGCGTCGGTTTGGGGCAAAGGCCAGGGAGTGAGTTTTGGGTTAACATGTCAACCAATTGTTCACCGCAGTCGGGGTTTGGGGTAAAGGCCAGGAATTGACTTTTGGGCTAACAGGTCAACCTTCGATACCCGCAGTCTGGTCAAAGGCGGCGAATTGGTTCAAAGCGTTGAGATTTGGGCCAACCGGTCAACCCGTGATTCCCGCAGTCGGGGGTTCGGGCAAGGGGTGGGACTCGATTATTAGCCCTAATAGCCTTAATTATTAGCCCTAATGACCAAATTATTAGCCCTAATTAACTGGGTGGGGGCGAAATTTAATTCCAAGCCCTAATCCGGGGGACAAATCTCATTATTAGCCTTAATATATTCCATTATTAGCCCTAATAGACAATTATTAGCCCTAATGACCAAATTATTAGCCCTAATTAACTGGGTGGGGGCGAAATTTAATTCCAAGCCCTAATCCGGGGGATAAATCTCATTATTAGCCTTAATATATTCCATTATTAGCCCTAATAGACAATTATTAGCCCTAATAACCCTAATTATTAGCTCTAATAACCTTAATTATTAGCCCTAATGACCAAATTATTAGCCCTAATTAACTGGGTGGGGGAGAAATTTAATTCCAAGCCCTAATCCGGTGGATAAATTTCATTATTAGCCCTAATATATTCGATTATTATCCCTAATAGACAATTATTAGCCCTAATAACCCTAATTATTAGCCCTAATAATCTTAATTATTAGCCCTCTAATAACCTTAATTATTAGCCCTAATGACCAAATTATTAGCCCTAATTAACTGGGTGGGGGAGAAATTTAATTCCAAGCCCTAATCCGGTGGATAAATTTCATTATTAGCCCTAATATATTCGATTATTATCCCTAATAGACAATTATTAGCCCTAATAACCCTAATTATTAGCCCTAATAATCTTAATTATTAGCCCTAATAACATTAATTATTAGCCCTACTGGAGGGGGCTGGGTGTTATTTTTAATCCTAGCCAGAAATCCAGGTGCTGAAACCAGCAGCTGGGCTGAAAAACCCCGAAAAGGAGCCAAAAAAGGGGCTAAATTTGGGGTGAAAAAGGCCCTTTTTGGGGTTTCGGAGCCTAAGAGTGGTTTTTTTTGGCTTCGCTGGCGGGAAAGTCCCCAAACCGGGCGGGTTTCGCCCAGAAAAAGCCGCCGCCACCCCCGGGCTGGCGGATAAAGCGGCGGCGGAGGGGACTGGGTGGTATTAATTGGTGATTAATTGGATTAATTATTTTCTTCTTTTTATTAATAATAATGTTATTAGGATGATTAGGATTTAATAATTAATTTTTTGGGGGGAAATAATTTGGTTTTTTGAAATTTTTACTACCTTAACAGAAAATTACTATTATGATTATATGATTTTAATTATCTTTATTATCTTATTGTTATAATT